AAGAAAAAAGCTTGCAAAATTTGTAGAATGCAATAAAGACTAATAACTGAAGTTCACACCTTATACACTACTGTATCATAGTAAACCAAACAAGAATTAAAAAAAAATATTTAGAATTATTGCCATATTAAGTGTTTAGGGCTCTCCGTCTTTCCAATTTTCTTTAATGAAGTGGCATAGATCAGATCAGTCATAAGTCCATTATTTCTTTCAAGTCACAAAATAGCAACCTATCGAGTCACTTCCACTTTAGCAGTAGGCTCAGCAGTGGTTTTCTGGTACAGTAAATGTACCTGAAATATGAAATTTGAAATATGATTGTGTCATGTAAAGAGTGAACATGAAGATAAATGTAACTCTCTATGAAAGAACTATGCAAGGAGGGAAAATGAACTTTGCCTCTTCCACAGGAATTTTTTGGTTTATCCAACCTGTGAGTGACTCTGCTGAGAGAAGACTCATCCTCAGGTCATTCATTGCCTACAGCTCCTATTCAGTGATCACAGTAAAACTGGAAGAGAGCACCTCAGTATGCCTGATGGGAGGAATTAACATTAGTGGATTATTATTCAACTGGGAAAGCCAGAATTAGAAAAACAGGCTCACAGCTGTAAAAATGTCACTTATGTTGCTGCTTGGCAGCTGCACTCATTTACTTGATCTCTTTGGGTTTTGGCAGTAGACTTCTTATGCTAGAGCTTTTCTTTTTGCTTTTGGGACTCTCATGGCAGGCCAGTATTTTCCCCTGGCATTGATAATTTACTACCAATCCATTATCCATTACCTTCCTGGCACGTGCAGACTTCAGAAAAACCTTGTCTGGGGTTTGGCACTCTACCCAGTGCCTGATCAATGCTATAAATTTTATTTCTTCTCTTGTGGTGCAAATTGGAAAAATATAGCACACAGTTACGCAAGCATGACACTGTCCTCAGCCGGGGCTGCTTTTCACTATAAAATCATCCAAAAAGAACTGAAATAATTTAGTGTCTCTAAAACCAGCACAAAAAGAAAAAGGGAAAAAAAATTGTTGCAGTTCTGCTAGAGATGTTTGATTCTCTGAACACACCAAAAGAGCTTATGTTTTGAAAATAAAGCTTCACGTTCCAAAAACTTTGAAACTCTGCCTTTAAATCAGTAATGCATCATCCATTTTCTGAGTGGACTGAACTTCAAAACCAAAGAGGTTCCTTTGAAGACACAAACCTTATTGCAACTTTGCCATAAGTACAGAAAAGTAAAAGAAACAAAGGTTAAAAGAAAAAAGCAAAGAAAATCTGGATTATAGATAGGAGTGTTGCCGTCACCATCTGACTAGATGTACATGCACTCATTGACATATACATATGACATATACATATACATATTTTTCCTCCAATTAGTTTGCACGTTAGGTTGTTCTGGATATCAAATACCAATGATATTTATCCATGAACAACAGTAGAACAGAACTGAAATTAATTGAAATAATAAGATATGTGTTTTTAAAAAATCCTAATGAATAGGTTGATACCACTCTGAAAAATCTTCTCACATTAATAAAAGTGCAAAAATGTTACTGTTTTCATATTTTGAATATTGCATCTTAGGCCCCATAAGTACACTGACCAAATCTTATGTGTTCTGAAGTGAAATATCAGAGCTCATATTACTCCTTCTCAAAGACAACAAAGATTATGAAGTCTGTCATCTGTTATAATTGTTTTCAATGTGCAACAATTTGCTGGATTAAGCACTTGCTATCACAGTCAGGCTCTCCAAAGTAAAATTATTTTTTTCTCTTCCTAGGAAGTTGTACCACTTTATTACCAACTATTGCACAGTGTCATGCATTTGTCTACCAGATCCAATCGTCAGCAGTCAACTTAAAGGTGATGATTTATCACTTTGACTTGGTTCTTTTTACCCAGTAAAATCAATATTACCTTGTCAGTGATTTTCAGAAGACTAAAATTTTAAGTGCTTTTTTCTGTAATATGTGTCACATTATTCTTGTTTACAAATGATCATATTTTATTGCTTTATGAAGTTATATTGAAGAAAATAACACAAAGTAGTCAATCTCAACACAAAATTGTCCAAGGTTAGCCACCTACTGTGATTAAACAGTTACCAGTAATCTAATAGTAATGCATCAGTGAAGAAAGCAATGAAAAACTATCCCCTCTGACTTACAGAAAATTGCATTCATGGTTAGTAGAAAGTTTGAAGCACAGGTACTCTGGAGAATAAATACTTTGGTTCCCTGTACTCCAAAATGGATCACTTGTCTAACACAGTATTTTCTTCATATGCCATCACATATTTGCAATTCTTCTCAAATTCTGTTGGTGTGAATCACCCCAAGAGATTTCTGTACTCATCTCTTCTTTTGAGTCCTTAAGATGCTCTGAAAGCATACTCACTAGTGAGGCCTCCATAAAAAAAGCTTGAGATAAAGCCAGATTTAGAAGACACTGCTTCTTATTTCACACAACAACTTAGTGGTTTAGTGCTCACCCATCCCTTCCTGTCCCTCCTCTGCCCAAGCTAAAACAGGCATTGAATGATGGCAGGAGACAGACATGCACAGACCCAGACACCCACACCAACAAATACGAGAAACTGATGCTTTAGTTTCATAACCATAATGCTTAATAATGTCATGGAAATAGAGGTTTATAGTACTCCTGAAATTAGTATTTATTTCTACAAAATTTAACAATACCAATCCAAGAGAGTGAGACATTGTTCCCAGACTGCCCACTCTACCTGCTGTTTCTTAAGACATGACAGACGTAACTTCAAGCCCTTATTCTAAATCAAATGGAAGGTAATTGAAATGACACCTCTTTCATTTTAGTAAATATCCCCACTGCTGAATTTTTGTGAAAACAAATCTATTCACTTAAGTGTATAGTTACAAACCTCTTTAGCAGATTCACATTTCCTTCAAAGTCAACAGCTACATGCCAAAGCAACCAAGGTGCAGGAGACTGACTGCAGAAATCTCATATTACTTCCAATTTAGCTACTAGACTTTATCCATTCAACTTAGTGGTTTCTACAGATATCATTCTGATGTACTCAGTTTTACTTAATCCAGGACTCTAGTTTCTATAAGAATAACAAAAACACACTCAAAGAAATATTTTTAGAAAAATATTGTACCCTAAGATAAATGCTACACAGATTGTCTTAAAACACTGGCAAGATTCTTAAGGGAGATGATGCTCCATTCTGAAGTATCCTGCTTCATCCCTTGAGCTATGAAATACTCACTTTGTATCTCTGACATTCTGAGCAGGGAATCTTTCATCTATCTAAACGTGGATGTGCACGAATCTCCTGATCATCATCAGAGCTCTAGCTGCTCTAGAATGCTGTAGTATGACTCATGCTCTATGATTTGGAGCATGATTCCTCTCCTAAAACATGGGCCTATGCACATCTGATTAAATATACTAACTCACCAGACGTTTAAATTTCTGCTGACCTGCTACATCTTGAAAACTGAGTTATCTATAAATATTATAAACATATAATAAGATTGTATTGTACAGTGGCTTTTGTTTGCTTTCTGTTCATCCTACAAACATAGAACATTTAAATTTCCCTTGGCCAGCCTAATCAGAGTTCTTTGGTTACTCTGTTTAGTTATATCTCATATTCTCTAATTCAGGAATGGTGATAGAGTATGACTCGTTTTGCATATTTTTTGAACAAACACATTTTATGGCAAAGGAAAAAAAAAAAGCAACATTTGCAGACTTCAAGAAAAAAATTTCACCAGAACACACAAACCAGTATAACAATCCTAATTCTGAGATTTTATTGGAGAAACTAACAGGGAAATGAATATCATCAGGCAGGTGGATCATTTGACTGGAATTAAAAGAAAAGTAGCAAACTGACAACAAAGTAAATATACGACTGTTCTATCAGTAAAAGTCATCCCAGTAGCTGCCAAACATCCTGGCACAAGAGATAGGAATTTCTAAGTAAATCTAAAAAATCTCACTGCATAAAAAAAGAATAAGAAATCAGGAAAAGGATATCTTAACACAGCAAGCTTAGACTGTCTGGCACCACAGGTTCAATTTAAGAGTTGGACTCACTGAGTCTTGTGGGTCCCTTCCAACTCGGAATATTCTGTGATTCTGTGAAATGTTCTCACTCTCTCTCAGACACTCCAAATATTCATCAGTCAAAGGGAATAAATTCAATGTTGTGAATGCAATTGTGACTAAATTTTGCAGAATGGAAGCATCATTAAAAAATGGTAAAAAAATAGAAATTATCTTTTTTAAACATTTGCGTTAATATTAACAATCCAGTGACACCTTTTTAAATAATAATGGTTTGCTCTTTGTGTAGCATTCTTATCATTCTACTGCTTCCTGTCCTCATTCTCAGAAGTGTCTGCTTTTGAAAGGTGTCTTATTTCTACAAAGTGAAGTATTCTGGATGAAACTGCAACAAAAAGTAAAATATTGTAAGTGTTACAAAACCTACCAGTCTGAACAGGATATCTGTATGAAATTGTTTCAGGGAAGATTCCAGAAGTGAGAAAATAAGAAATAACTGAAAATTTAAAAAGCAAGAAAGAAATCCTTTGTATGCAGTGTAAAATGAGAAAATCATGAGTAAGATCAAGCATAGAAGTGAATAGATTAGATTTCTGTCACAGGATGTTCTCATTATCAAAGATCTGGTTAGAGTTACACTCATTCAATTTATTCCCTTTTATCATAGGATTAATTGCATGACCATGGTAAAATAATAAGCTAGTGCAATAAATTTAACTTTTATTTTCCTTTCAGTCACAAAAAAATTGCAGGTATAATCCTTTCAGTCTTCCTTTCACACATTAGCAGCTATACTGCTTGGGACAAAGCTGTGGAATACTCTAAACTCATAATTCAAAATAGGACATCAAAATGTACCAGGAAATGTAAGTAAGTAATAGAAGGAATCACCAAAGAAAGAAGACAAACATGCTGAAACTAGTGTTCTGATACCTGTTTTCAAAAGCAGCATCTCACACAGGTCACCATCACACCCAGGATGCCAGCAGAAGAGCTGTATATGGAATTTAGAAGGATTGCAGAAGGCAAAAGGTTTCTTAAAGCAGTCTTCCCCTCTATAACTGTATAGAGATATAAATTCAAAAATTTGTTATTTTGAATATAGAGCCAGCCATATTGCAAGCCATGTAACTTCACATATTAGATATGTCAACTATATCCAGGTAAATTCCATCATCTAGAATAAACTTTTATTAAAATTTTTGTTCTATGACTTGTGTCTTTATTGAGGCTTTTGGCTGATACACGAGTGCACCACTAGGGTACAGAAATGTGTATTCTGTTTCCATTTTTCCCATGCTCAAAAATTCATTAAGCCTGCCTGTCATATGTTTAGACCTAAATAGTCACAAATCAAATCATCTCCATTTCATAGAAACAAAAGCAAGTGTCATTATTCTTCTGTGGTATGCCAGTCTGCTTCAGAAACATGCCAGCCCTTGCAGAGCATGGAAATCAATAGGTATAATGAGCCAGAGCCACATTCCAGAGGCAAGTGATTCTTGTCAGCTACCTAATATGTGCCTCATGATGACTCTGTGGCCTTCCTGGTGCAGTGCAGCATGAAGACTTTCTCAGTGTGCATTTAGGATGGCCATGTATTGTGGTTTAACCCATCCGATTCACTTGTGGTTTTATTGCTTGTCAGTAACGTAAGGTCATCCTAAATGAGCCCTAATAAAACCTTACAACACCTCACACTCACGTGAATTCTCTATCCAAACCATAGTATATTGGAGAAGTAATTACTCAATGCTTAAGTGATTTTTGGAAGAAATTGTGCAGATTTTTATGGTCAGCTGAGATCTATGTTATAAAAGCCAGGACAAGGAGAGGTGATAAAATGGTGGTGTTGTACACGTTCGTGCCTCTCTAGCCTTGGGACTGGTAGATACAACTCTGACTTGTGCCAGCTTCTCATATTTGTGCCAAAACAAGACAGGATCTGCTTTTATGCCAGTGGATGGGAAATTGCTGTCAAAGGAACTTTTATAGTATTTCATTTGCATAATGGGGTCTCATAAACATCAAGGAATAGAGCCTGGATAAACATGGTGAAATCTTACCTCTAGTGGTGTTTTTTGCCACGGATATCAGAGGAGGCAGGATTTGAAACTGTTGTGTTTTAAAGTGCTTTGCTTCAGAGGCTGTAATGTCTGTCCAGAGATTGTGAAGGTTTAGCAGGAATGCCAGGTGGAAAAATCACACTCCTTTTAGTGTGATGAGGGATCTTTTTGATTCAAAGAGATGTGTCATTCTGGGAGCTTTTATTTACTGACAGCAGCTAACACTGCTTAGGTAAATGGAAGATACTGGCTGTGATTCTCTAGAGCACAATATTAATTGATTTTTAATGTCAGGCTGAAACTCAAGCTTCTGGCCTTAAGGAGGAGAGTGATAGTAATGCTTAGTGCCACTGGATTGTGGGAAATACTGATTTTTGTATATATTCTCTCGTATTTAGGACAGCAGTCTGAATGACAGTTTGCTAGGAAGTAAATCATAGAATCAGAGAATGTCTTGGGTTGGAAGGGACCTTAAAGATCATCTAGTTCCAACCCCACTGCCATGGGCAGGGAGATCTTCCACTAGACCAGGTTGCTCAGAGCCCTGTCCAACCTGGCCACAAGCACTTCCAAGGATGGGGCCTCCACAACTTCTCTGGGCCACCTGTTCCAGTGCCTCACCACCTTCACAGGAAAGAACTTCCTCCTCATATCTAATCTTAACCTGCCCTCTTTTAGTTTGAAATCTAATCATTCTTGGTGGCTCTCCTCTGGACTCACTCCAATAGGTCACTGAATCACAGAATAGGTCAGGATGGAAGGGACCACAGTGGGTCATACGGTCCAATCTCCCTGCTCAGGCAGGGTCATCCTTCCTGTGGTCAATGACCTTCCTGTGCTGCAGACCCCAGAGGTGGATGCAGTGCTTCAAGTGAGATCTCATTAGTACAGGGGCAGAATCACCTCTCTTGACCTGCTGGCCATGATTCTTTTGATGCAGCCCAGGACACATTTGGCTTTCAGGGTTGTGAGTGCACATTGCCGGATCATGTCCAGCCTCTCATCCACCAGCACCCCAAGTCCTTCTCAACAGGATTGCTCTTGATCTGTGCATCCCCAGCCTCTATTGATACCAGGCGTTGCCCCAACCCAGAAGCAGCACCTTGCACTTGGTCTTTTTAAACCCCATGAGGTTCCTGTGGGCCCTGTTCTTGAGCTTGTCCAGGTCCCTCTGGATGGCATCCCATCCTTCAGATATGTCATTTGCAAGTTTGCTGAGGGATTCCTTCATCTATGTAACTTATGAAGATATTAAATAGCACCGGTCCCAATACAAACCCTCGAGAGACAGCACTTATCATTGATGTCCATGAAGTCTTTGACCATTGACCACTACCCTCTGGATGCAACTGTCTAACCAATTCCTTATCCACCAAACAGTCCACCCATCTAATCCATTTTTCTCCAATTTAGAATGTTGTGAGGAACAGAGTCAAAGGCTTTACATCATCATCATCATGGCTAGGCTTCGCGAACGAAGATTTGAAAGGGCTCTACCCACGCTTGCTACAAGCGTGCTGATGGCTAAAAAGGCCAATGCGAGATAGACAAGTCCGGTTGCAGAAGGCACAGCAGAAAGACTCCCCAGGTGATACAGACAAGACGCGATTCTTTCTGCGTTGTCTTTTCTCCTCGAGAGTGATCCTGCGTGTGTTCTCAAAAGCAGCAGCAGCGTTATAGATGGTGTGTCTCCAGGCCTCCCGATTGGAGGCCAGGGTAGACCAATGGTGATGATCAATATGGCCAAGGATGAGGGATTGTTTCAGGGAGTCCTTGAACCTCCTCTTCGGGGCTCCTCTCTTGCGGCAGCCAGTGGCAAGTTCCCCATAGAGTACGATCTTAGGGAGGCGGTAGTCCTGCATCCTGGAGACGTGCCCTGCCCAGCGCAGCTGTGTTCTCAGCAGCATGGCCTCAATGCTCGTGACTGCTGCCTGTTCAAGGACAGACGTGTTGGTCACATAGTCAGTCCAGTGGATGTTTAGAATTGTGCGGAGGCAGCGCTGATGGAAGCGTTCTAAGAGACGCAAGTGGTGCCGGTAAATGACCCATGATTCGGACCCATACAAAAGAGTAGACAGTACAACAGCTCTGTAAACACTGATCTTGGTACTTTTCTTCAGGTGTTTGTTTTGCCACACTCTTTTATGGAGTTTACCGAAAGCTCTGTATGCCTTTGCTAACCTGTTGTCTATTTCTGCATCAATCTTACCGTCTGAGGAGATGATGCTACCCAGGTAGCTAAACTGCTGGACTGATTTGAGTTCTGTTTCACCAATGGTGATATGGGGATGATGGGAGACTTCCTGAGGTGCAGGCTGGTATAAAACTTCTGTCTTCTTCAAGCTGACTTCCAGTCCAAACAGCTCAGCAGCCTCTGCAAAGCAGGATGTTAGACGCTGCAGAGCTACTTCTGTGTGAGCAACAAGGGCGGCATCATCAGCGTAAAGCAGCTCACGGATAAGACAATTTAAGGTCTTAGTGTGGGCCTTCAGTCGCCTTAGGTTGAACAGGCTCCCGTCCGTACGATATCGAATGTAGACACCGTTTTCATCATCGAGGTCTGCCGTGGCCCTTTGGAGCATCATGCTGAAGAAGACTGTGAATAAAGTTGGTGCAAGGGCGCAGCCTTGCTTCACACCATTGGCTATTGGAAACGGCTCAGAAAGTGCGTCACCATGTCTCACTTGGCCGCTGGTCCTCATGAAGCAAGATGATCATTTTGAGGAACTTGGGAGGACATCCTAAACGTTCCAAAATCTGCCACAGACCTTTTCTGCTCACAATGTCGAAAGCCTTGGTGAGATCAACAAAGGTAACATAGAGTCCTTTGTTCTGTTCCCTGCACTTCTCTTGCAGTTGTCTGAGAACAAATACCATGTCTGTGGTACCTCTGTTGGCTCGGAAACCACACTGGCTTTCAGGTAGAAGATCTTCTGCTATGGTGGGTATTAATCTGTTCAACAGAATTCTTGCAAGGATTTTACCAGCAATGGAGAGCAGAGTAATACCTCGGTAATTTGAGCAGTCTGATTTATCTCCTTTCCTCTTGTACAAGGTGACGATGACAGCGTCACGAAGGTCTGAAGGTAGTTCACCTCGTTCCCAGCAGCGCACCACAAATTCATGAAACTTAGCACAGAGTGCTTGGCCACCGTACTTCCAGATTTCAGGTGGGATTCCGTCAACCCCAGCTGCCTTGCCAATTTTCACCTGCTGTATTGCTTTAAGAGTTTCTCCCATGGTGGGGGCGGTATCCAGTTCAGTTTTCACGGGTTGTTGTGAGATGAACTGCAATGCTGAGTCTTGAACTACACGGTTAGTACTGAAGAGGGTCTGAAAGTGTTCAGACCATCGATTCAAGATGGAAACTTTATCTGTGAGAAGCATTTGGCCATCTGCACTGAGTAATGGGCTTTGAACCTGGCGTGTAGGACCGTAGGCTGTTTTCAGAGCCTCATAGAATCCCCTGTAGTCACCTGTATCTGCGCATAATTGGATTTTTCCGCTAGATTGGTCCACCACTTGTTCTGGATGTCACGAAGTTTCTGTTGCAGCTTGCTGCATGCGAGTCGAAAGGCTGCTTTTCTTATATGACAAGATGGCTGAGCAAGGTGGGCTTGGTGAGCAGTTCTCTTCTTCCTCAACAATTCCTGGATCTCAAGATTGTTTTCATCAAACCAGTCCTTGTTTTCTTGAAGGAGAACCCTAAGGATTCTTCAGAGGACTGCAGAATGCTACTTTTAATAAGTTGCCAAAGTGCTTCGGGAGAGGAGTCTGTGGAATGAACTTTGAGCCTGGATTGAAGATTTGCCTGGAATCTGTCCCTCACTGTAGCTGATTGAAGACTGTTAACTTGAAGTCTCCTTCTAGGAATGCTGCCCTTTTAGGTTTGAATTTAAGGTGGAGGTTAAGTTTACAGCGCACGAGACGATGATCCGTTTGACATTCTGCACTAGGCATCACGCGGGTGTGACGAACATCGCGGATATCTCTCTGTCTGACCAGGATATAATCAATGAGGTGCCAGTGCTTGGACCTGGGATGCATCCAGGTTGTCTTCAGACTATCTTTCTGCTGAAAGATAGTGTTGGTGATAGTAAGCTGCTGCTCAGCACAAAACTCTAGCAGAAGGCGACCATTATCATTGCAGTTCCCAACACCATGCTTGCCTAGTACTCCTTTCCAGGCTTCAGAGTTCTTTCCTACTCTGGCGTTGAAATCACCAAGGATAATGATCTTATCATCTGCAGGAACCTTTTGGATAAGGTGGCGTGAGGTCGTTGTAGAATTTATCTTTTCAGCAGGGTCAGCTTGGAGGGTTGGGGCATATATACTAAAGAGAACAGCATGTTGCTTGTTGTGTAGTGGGAGCGTAGGGAGATGATACGATCAGAATGACCAGTTGGCAGATTTTCGAGTTTAGAGGCAATAGAGTTTTTAATCATGAAGCCAACTCCTGAGAGATGCCTTTCAGAACTGGGTTTACCTGACCAGTAGAGTGTATAACCGGCACCATGTTCTCTAAGGCTGCCTTCCTCATGAAGACGAACTTCACTGAGAGCAGCGATGTCGATGTTGAGTCGTGACAGTTCATGGGCAATTAGAGCGGAGGCGGCAGCTCAGAACTGACCACTGTTTGCAGTATCGAGCATGGTTCTGATGTTCCAGCATGCGAGTGATAATTTGAGTACACCTTTGGAGGCAGGTGTGTGCCTTTTGCTCTTAATCTTTATTTGACCGCATCAGAAGGTGCCTGTTGGCCGCGGCTAGCCAACCAGGTGAAGGATGGAGATGAGCTTTGGTTAGGCCACCTTTTCTAGGCCCCTCTCCGTGTGGAGCAAGCAGTGCTCTCCTTGGAAAAGGCTGCTTGGTCATTCAGGATGCTGCCGAGTGAGTCTGTCATCTCCAGGGTCAGACTCAGGCGACCAATGTCCTGAACCGCCTGCATGCAGGGTTAGGACTGCAGCTTCCAGTGCACCTTATCACCTGCCGTTTCGTCCCTCACCTGTCGCTGCAGGACTTTACAAGTGTGGGTATAACCCTAGAGCCTGCGCAGTGGATTTTTAGGTGAGGCTCAGCTTGCGCAGAACTGATCCCACCCTTTACTCCTGAGGTTCATCTGCCAGGGCCTAGCAAGCTTGGACGGTGACAGTGAGGTCCTCAGGGCGTAGGTTTGATTAGAGTATCCTTCTCTTGGATGGATGGCCTTACAGGGCTAAGCGAGCTCCATCTGCCCGGGTTTGAAATTAGAGTTGTCCTTCTCCTAGGATGACTGCCGGAAGGCTAGTGAGCTCATCCTGCCCATGGATACATTTGACCTTTCAGTTTTGACCTGTCTGGCATGGGAGACCCTACCGGAGGCATATGCCACCGCCAGCACAGCTCGCAACCTCATAAGGGCATACTGAAATAGTTTGGTCAAGCCCTGCTCTCCCAACTTTTCCTTCATAGCTTCCTACAGTTTAACCCAGGGACACTGCCTTGCCCTGAGCACCCCTCAAGACACTAGGAGAAGAAGAAGGGAAGAGGGGAGAAAAAAAAAAAAAAAAAAAAAAAAAAAAAAAAAAAAAACCAAAAAACACAAACAAACAAACAAACAAACAAAACCCAAAACAAACAAACAAAAACCCCACAACAAACCCAAAACAACCACACAAAAAAACCAAAACCAAACAAAGAACAAAAACAAAACCAACAACAAGCACCAGCACAAAAACCCACAGAACAACAACAACAATAATAAAAGCACACCACATTCCTGGGCAGAAGCCACTAGAAGCCGCTAGCAAGCCGAACCCATCATATCCCAACTCCCACTGCGACAACACCCGGCGATTCCGGCATACCCCCAGGCAATGGCAGGCACACGTGTAAGAAGTGCCCGCATACACCCTAGGTTAGGGCACCCACCACATCCCCTGCCCAGCCAAAACCCCCAGCCTCCAGAATAAACCCATTACCCACCCCAAACCTCAGCCCCCAGCGTGCCACTGCAAGCTCCCCTTTCCACTGCCCGTCCGCGGCCCCCAAATGAGGCCGCCCCGCCGGCCCCCACGTTGGCCAGGGAAGCTCAGGTCCGTCCACCCTCCCCCTGCTCCTGCCCAGCCTGACCCGGCACGGCTCGACCAGGGATTTCCCCCGCGCTGAACAGGACCATCTACCCGCACTCCCCCAACGGTCTAGGGAACCCCGGGACCGTCCAGCCCCTCCCTGCACCCGCCCGGTCCGACCCGGCGCGGCCCGGTCCCGCGGCCCGGCCCCGCATGGCCGCCGGCCATCTGCCAACCGCTCCGCCGTTCCGACGTCGAAGCACAGCTCCCGACGGCTTCACCAGGAGGTCGACTGCACAGATCGGTGCTGCAGCCTTTCCCACGCATGCAGGGCCATGACGAGCCGCGAGAGCAGGAGCGGGTCCCTCACCACCCACCACCCAGCTGCAGGAGCACGCCGAACGCGTGGCCGCCTGCCCGCCCGCCATCTTGGCCCCCAAGGCTTTACAGAAGACCAGATAAATGACATCCATAGACCTTCCCTTGTCCTCTGTATGTAATTATATACATAATATATAATATATACTCCTCCATTATATAAGGCCACAAGGTTATTTAGGTAGGACTTGGTGAAGCCATATCCCAAATTGTCTCTTTGTCTTCCATGCGCCTTAGCACAGCTTCTAAGAGGATCATTTCCATGATCTTCCCAGGCACAAAGGTGAGGTTGACAGGCCAGTAGTTCCCAGGGTCTTCTTTTCCACCCTTTTTAAAGATAGGTGCAATGTTTCTCCTTTTTTCCAGTCACTTTGGTCTTCCTCTGACTGCCATGACTTATTCAAATATCATGAAGAATTACTGGCAATTGTGGGAGACAACGTGGAATACATGCAATGGAAACATCAATCATAGAGAAGAAACACTTCAGCGTTTGTCAGGCAACTACATCAGGCCCTCAGGACTCTGAGATGCATCCAGTTGGGTCCCATAGACTTATGTACATTCAGATTTCTCAGGTGGTTATGAACCTGATCTTTACTTACAGTGGGAGGGACTTTGCTCATCCAGTCCCCATCCTTCTGTGTATCTACTCTAGAGGTGTGGTAAGAGAGGTTGCCATTGAAGACTCAGTTAAAAATGCTGAGTACCTCAGCCTTCTCCAGTTTGCCAATACCATTTACCAGAAGGGTACACCTTCTTAGAACTCTCTTCTGGTTTACATACCAGTAGAAGCCCTTCCTGCTACTTTTTGCATCCCTTGCCAGGTTCAATTCCAGCTTCAACTTGGTCTTCCTGACCCCATCCTTATACAACCGAATTTCATCTCTGTACTCTTCCCAGGTCACCTGTCCTTGTTTCCACTGCCTGTGCATTTGCTTATTTCCCTTTAATTTGACCAGTAGTTCCTGACTCAGCCATTCCAGTGTCTTTCTTTCCTATCCCAATTTCTTTCTCCTGGGGATTACACTCTATGGAGGACTTCCATAAAGATCTTCCAGATCTGTTCCACTCCCTTGTCCCTGAGGGCAGTCTCCCAGGGGATCCTACTGACTATCTCCTTGAAGAGCTGGTATAATTGACCATCAGATCCAGTATCTCTTCCCCTCTGTTAGGGCTGTTAGAGAATTTTAAAATATTAAGTAAATGTGAGAATTCAAGAAAGAATATTTAAAAGCTCAGATGCAAGGCCTGAAACTTTGGGAAATATATTTTGTTCTGCAGCACGAATATTAATGTAAGATAATATAAAAATATATGTGCCAAATTTTGCTTTAAGTCAACTCAGTATAAATCAGGAATATTTAACATTATCAGAAGACTTCTTAATTTATACCCCTACAGCCATAAAGAAAAAATAACTGATATATTTAACACATCTCTTCATATCCTTATGAAAGAAATATTCAAATTCCTCTTTGCCAGATAATCACTTTGACTTTAATAGGAATATGTTCTACAATTAGGCATAGGCAATGTATTTATAGAAAAAACTCATCAGTTATCATAGAAATATAGGACATTACTGGCAGTTGTGGCATGTTGTAAGGGCCCTTGCTAGAGAATGAAATTTACACATTTTGATGATTTACACACTTGATGACTTGCCACTTTTAAAAACAATCAGCAAAAAATAACAGAAATTAATTATTTCACCTAATTAGCCAGCCTGGTGAGAGAAACGTTACATCTATTTTCTTTAGCAAGATTGTTTTTTAAAAGTGAACATGGGTTGTCAAAGAATTATGGTAGTAAAACAATAGAGTATATTCTAGAAGAATAGTCAAAACGAACAAGTGAACTGGCAATTCATTTCTATTTTGATATGATAAACATTAAGGTCACAAATTCACACTTCTATTGATCCTTAAAACAACTCACGTCAAATATTAAATTATTCAAATAACATACTGAGGTATCAGAAGTTTTAAGGAGCCTTGTCATCTGAAGGCTTGATCTAGTTGATTAAACTACCGGGGAGGAAAGTGGAGATGCACATATCAGTGGCATGTAAAAGTCTAATAAAAAAAGAGCTTTTCTGAGTTACAGCAAATGTGCATCTAGTCCTGTATCTTCAACCATTAGCTAAGGGATAAGAGAGGTGCGAGTATGCAGAAACACTTCACTGGCACATCCTTCCAACTTCTAGGGAATTTCCCTAAGCCAGAAGACTACTCCATTACAGAATAAAGTTACAGAAATATTTTTAGACTTAAGTCTAAATTCTCAATCATATTGCTGACGCACATATGTTGATTATATTTCAGTTAACTTTGCAATATTTATTTTCACATTACACAGTTATAAAAACTACCATGTTAACTAAAGATCTGAGGACATTAGCACATCATGATCTGGTTGAAGGATCTGGGCTTACTAAAATAACAGCATTAAAAACATAAATACAGGTGTAGGTATTATGGGTGTATATACAGTGGAGCCCAAATATCCTTGCTTATTTTAGGTTCAGTAAACTTGCAAAAGATCACATATTTACCTGAACACTGATTTAGTGTTTGAGCTTTCTCTTTAATTTCACTCCCATCACTTTCATGGCATTTGATTTTTATTTCCTTGAACTGATCAATAAACCCTCTATGGTTTTGCTTCAGAAGTGGAAAATAATGTAGTATATGTTATTAATCATGTTATTGTTATTTTTACAGAGCAGCACCAAGAGTCAGCAAAGTCAATGCCCCATTATGCTAGGTATTGTCAAAAAACATGCACAGTCGCTGAGCTTAGAGGCCTCACTACTGAAATGGAATACAAATCAAGTGACAGAAAAAAGTCAGAAAATACTTATAAGAACAAGAGTCACACCAAAGTCTACCTAGTCCATATTTTGTGTCTTACAGTGATCACACTGGGGAAGAGCAGAAGAACAGAGCATGCACTGCATGACACTTCTCCTGAGCTTTCTTTCAATCCCAAATCAGGGATGTCACAGTTCCTATGCTTCCACAGGCTCTGACAAAGAGAAAAAAGAATAAATTCAAAGTCCCAATGTTAATCACCAAGCTAACAAACTTATCAAAGCCTTTGGAAAATATTGATTCAAAGTAAGAGCTCACTTTTTTCCAAACAGAAACACATTATAGTCATCGCTAATATTTGTGATGATATGGAACATCACACCACATGTTCTTATTCACACTAAATTTCAGGTCTTGATTAATGAAATTAGTCACAGAATCATAGAATGTTTTGGGTTTTCAGTGACCTTTTAAAAGTCATCTACTTCAAGCCCCCTAGAGTGAACAGGAATATCTCCAACTAGACAGAGCCCAGAGCCCCATTCAACTTCCCCCTGAATGTTTCCAGGGATGGGGACACATTTTAAAGCCATCCCTCCTTGTCCTATGATTACACAGCCTTGTAAGAGGTCCCTCTCCAGTTCTCTTGTAGGCCCCCTTTAGGTACTGGAAGGTGCTATAAGGTCACCCTGGAGCCCTCTCTTTTCCAGGCTGAACAACTCCAACTCTCTCAGCCTGTCTTGATAGGAGAGGTGCTCCAGCCACTTAATTATCTTTTTTTGTTTTGTTTATACAGGTCTTTCTCACATATACCTTTAGGAAATTGAATGTATTTAGGTAAATTTTTAAAAACTATTCAAAGGGCTTAACAATATAAGTAATCGAGGTGCTTTTGAAAATGTTACCATTTAGAAGAAACAATAACATGCAAGTTGAGATGGCATTTAGATAAAAGTAACAGGACCTTGATGCAGAACAGAAAATGTATTATATTTTTGACAAGTCTAAATGAAATCAGAAAAAGCCACCACTATATGGCTTCAGTGTTCAGATATATTTTTATAGGTTTTTTTAGTTTTTATCTGGACCTGCTTAAAAAACTTCAAAGGGTTCTTTTGTACCTTGATATAGACTAACAAAGCATGGTATCTGTGATTATCAAAGTCTAGCATCATTCATTTCAGATATTCCAGTAAGATCTGAAAATTGCAAGAGGGGAAAAAAGTACTGATAGAGTTTTTGGATGCATCAGAGACTGCACAGGTTTGTGCAGCTTTTTAGAACTACCCTATGGCATATCAAATCGATTCCCAAATGTTCCTCAGTATTCTCTACTCTTCATAAAGTTCACAAGATAATACTGATCATAACTAGAATTTAGAATAGATGTAGCATACCAATCTGGAAATGACTGGTTCCTGATTATGAGTTTTAACGTGTCTCTTTCACACCTGTATTTTAATAATTATTAGATTATAAGCCTTGGCAGCTGAACACTGAGATTAAATGCAAAGAGCAAGGATGTCAGAAAATAAAATGGATGCAATACATACTGCAAAAGAAAAAAAAAAACAAAAATCACACTTTTTTCTTCTCTTAAATACTCATTCTCTTCTATTGCTGCTGGAAACCACAGTACATATTCCATTTAATTCACAAATGCAGAGGCTACTCAGTTTAAAATAGGACTGTTTTGCTTCTCAGATGCAGTTTCAGAGGTACTGTTCCTCTGTGCATGTGCCTGTGTAAATAAGTATATGTGTGGAAACAGGCCTGTGTGCCTGTTTCCAGTTCAGTGAATGAACACACACTGAATTGGCAAACACAAAGTGGGATCCTAATGAGGTAACTCCCCTGAGAAATAAACATACTGCCACATAAATCAGCTCTGTCTCAGTAGATCTCTCCATAAATCTGCAGTAATCAGAGGAGCAACATCATGAGACAACATCAGCAAGGAATAAGGGCTGTTATGGTGTGGTCACATTCTAAAGCCAAGGACAAAGTAAGCTGTGTTAGATGTAAGCGTCTGTGAATGGACAGTAATCTGCAGGTAATCAGTGCCAGTTCTATGGGCTCATTCTCCAGACTTACCCATATTTTTGAACGGGTCATTGCTGGTCTGATTTTCAGCCTGCCATGGATGAATGCATGAATTTATTATGAGAATATTGTATAAACTGTGGTTCAAATTTCATCGAAACTAGTATCTGCCAAGAATAATATTTTACTGGTGCTAAAGCCTCTGATAAAGTATGTATTACAACCATGATTTATATGCATCACAGAAGTATATTATCTCAGAGAAAAACTAGGTTTTCTGCTTTAATCAGTACTAAATCAGTGTTATAAATACAATCAGAATTATTTATTACTTTTCAGTAAAAAGTTGCTTCTTTGATCTTTTAGAAGTTAGCCAAGCTATCTGGATTTTCACTGTAAGGTTTAAAGTCTCAAAAATTACAAAATATTAAGAACTGAATTTCAAATAACTTTTTGGAGGAAGAGGCAAAGTTCCTGCACAAGAAATGTAAAGCATTTGTATGAACCTCAGGCATCTGGGTTGTAGGTTAGTGCCAGAGTGCAGCTTCAAATGCAATATAAATTTCATAAATCTATAGTCTTGTAACCTCCTGCTTTATTGTTCATCATCCTGTTTCTGTGTCTTGAAAGTTCCAAGAGAGGTAGTTCATTTGGCATTCTTTTGTAAGGCACAAATCAAGATTTAGTCCAAACTTGTCAAAGCAGAAATTTTTAAGGCAACAATTTTCCCCTGCAGACATCCAGAATTATGAAAAATATACTCTAACCTTTCACTAATGACAGTTAAGAAAAATATGGTGTTGTTTCTATCATAGTTTTCTCTGCTGTCAAACGTTGTCCGATTACACTTCACATGTGTGCATGTATGCTTCCTAAATAGCTTTGGAACTCACAGTCTGATTTCAACGGAAATGAAACAAAAGGACACTGATCTCAAAGATTATTATGTTTCCATATGTTCTGCAGAAGTAGATGGTGAAACTGAGGATTAAGATCAGATCATATAAGTTTGTAGTTGAATGAAAGGCTGCAGAAGGAGTGCACATTTTTTTATGATACCTGAGAATCTGCATGGCAGCACTTGCAAATATTCAGCTGTAAGAAAAGCCACAGGATTTTTGTACCTTAACTATAAAGGCCAAGGACCAGCAAGGCATCAGTCCATAGGAAATGGGGCTTCATTCATGCTGCAGCTCTATATGCCATTTGTTAGTTATATTACTTTTTCATTATCCAGACATGGATTTATAGCCAGGTGGGGAATGGAGGCTGGTGTGTAAGAAAACCTAGCCTCCCTTATTAACACAACAAAGTGCTGTGCATTTGTCTGGGATTTCTGATATCTGAGTTCCAGGCAAAGTACCTGATGTCTGGACATTGCAGCTAGCATCTGCACAACTCAGTCTCAGAGTCCCTCTGTGTAAAGTCTCATGCTATAGATTTACTGTAGAAGTTTTGTGTAATTACTCTTAACAGGAGCATAGCTGTCCTTATCTACCAGCTAAGATCACTAGGGGTGGAATTAGTTTAAGTAAAATTCAAGTAATGAAAACAATCACTCTGTTCCAATGTTCCACGTACAGATTAAGCAGATAAGGGAGAATATAATTCTCTAGCGGTTTAGTGACTACCAGGAATGGATGGAAAAAAGGGCTGTTTTGAAGGTGTATTCATTGGAAAGAGATTACACAAACAGAGGAGGGTGGAGAACTCATGAAAAATTATTGTGTTCTACACAGTGGTGTGAACACAATGAGCTAAAAAATCAGCCGGTCATATTAGGTTGCTTGAAGGTGCTGCACTAGGTAGCTGGAATTTCATGGAACCTGCATAGGTGTCTCTGCCCAGTATTTCTCTGGCTTTCTCAGGCTAGCACAACCAAAGAGAGCTCAGACCTGCCTCCACGTGCCAGTGCAGGCATGCCCTCCTTCACATATTTGTAGTGTGATTTTAGGCAAGTTATAATCAGTAGAAAAGGGGTGGGGCTGGGAAAAGGTTAGAACTTGTCTGGAATTTTTGGTGAAACATCAAGAAATTCTGATTCTTCAAAACATAGCCTTTTCTGTGGAAGCATACTGATTTTGAAACAGAAATCTCAGAAGGAGAGCTCAGATTGAGAGCCAAGTGTATGGCCGAAGGCAAAGACCTAAAAACCTAGATAATCATGGAACCAATTAACAGCAGTTTTCATCTGCAATTTAGGCAGCCAGCATCAGAAATCTTTGATTTGTAGTCAGATATAGCAGAGATATAACATTCAAATGACAGTCTGATCTCCAGCTGAGATTAGGAAAACAGTAAATGTAATTATGGACTTTTGCAACACTTTAGTAGGATATCAAAATATTGTGTGTAAAAGCCCAATTTAGGTTGGGAAGAGTTTGGAAAGCCAATTCACCTCTATCTGAATTCACACATCAACTTCACTACATAATGATACATAAGGCTTTGGCAGATTTTAAAGCTACTGCAACTCTAACTTCTACTGCAAGAAGCTGTTCAAGAAAAGAGTCCTTCTCTCAGACATTAAATTCAAATCTCTTTGAGCTGACATGAGATGTTGGACAGTAAGAATTTTTTTCTACAGGCATGCCCACACAAAATATACATGTAGCATATTATCATCACAATTTTATTCTTCACAGCAATATTCTATAAAAATGATTAAAAGAAACAAACAAGCAAAAAATTATAGGAGTTACTTGTGAAGTGTAAGGAAAAAAAATTGTTCTAAATTTATTCATATTTTCCAATTCCCAACTACATTTTTAGCGGTAGCTTCCTTTTAGTTTGCAAAATTTCCCTGTTAATTATTCAACTGATATGTCAGTAAGGCTACCGATATTTAACTGGTATCAATGAACAGATCAATTGAAAACAGATGTCATAGCTATAGCCCTAAATAACTCATAAAATATTTTTCTGTAGACCACCTTTGTACAACTCTAGATAATGTCCAACATTTTAATGTGAGCTATTTAGTTCCTCTGTTGATAAAGCACTCTGGTATTCCTAGGAACCCATAATAGTTAGGAAAGATATATGACTGTGCAATATACAAAGAGACGAGAAGGATTTAAGTGGAACATTAACAAATGGGATTTTTAAACTTACTAAGTTAAATAAATAAGAAAGGCATACATTATATGCTTTTTTTTCTTATCAATCCCG